TTTTAATCCCCTACCTTATATTATGACACTTTTAATTTAGTCCCTCACCCTACTAGATTTATAGGTTTTAACCCCTTATTTATTAAAATCGAAAAAAATAACTCTTATTTTATACTAACTGTTAACTCTGTTAGTTAAAAGTAGATTTTTGTCAACTAACAATTAATTAATGGTCAATTAACAGAATTAACAAAATATTATAAAATTAGTTTTGTTAACTCTGTTAACTAAAAAAAAAAAATTTGTAAGTTAACAGTCAATTAACAATCAATTAATAGAATTAATAGTTAGTTAACCGAACTAACAAAATGTTACAAAATGAAGGCTATTTTCTTTAATTTTAATAGATGAAGGGTTAAAAGTGTCATAGTATAAAGTGATTAGTTAAAACTTACAAATTTAGTAAGATGAGGGACTAAAAATGTTATAGTATAAAGTTAGAGGCTAAAAATAGACTTTTGCCAAATTTCTATGTAAAAAAAAAAAAAAAAAAGCACCCATCGTGGATAATGATTTTTTTCTATTAGTCTATTAACTTATATTATAATTTCAATATAAATAAGAAAAAGTTGCTTAATTTTATTCAAGAAGTGTGTAGCTTGAAACTGAAGGAGATATAGATGCATATTCATTACATATACATGCCTTTTTTCCTTAGTGAGTTGGTGTATTATACATATGTGATTGATCATAATTACGAGTACACCCACAATCAATTATTAGCAACATTTACATCATTGATGAATACACATGGTTGTTCGTTGAAACTTGAAGGCTTCTCAACTACTTTTCTTTTCTTGGTATATTTAAGTGATCACAAAAAATGGGAAGATTGTTTCCCTAATTATTCTATCCAAAATTGATGCCTTCCCAAAATATTTAGAATTTTCCGCATTGAAAGAAAATCCAATGTTTGGTCCCCCAATAAAAAAAAAAAAAAGAAGAAGGAAAATGCAATGTCTTCATGGGTTAGACCAATAGTCAAAACATGTTTTTTCATTATTATTGATTAAGATTCCAAATTAATTTTTTGTAATTAGTTACCTTCTTTTTTTTTAAGATTCGTTTATTGTTACCAAACTTTTTCTATTGTAGGCAATTATGTACATCGTATTTTATCAAAATTTATTCTAAATTATTAATGTATTGGAGAGTAAAGTAAAAGTGTTAGGACAAATTTTTGTTCCTTTTTAAATTACATACTACTTGTTAGAAAAATATTACTGTACAACAGTTCTTGTAGTAGTAGTAAGTTTTTTTTAAAAAAAAAAATTTGTGGACAGTAAGGAAAAAATATGACTATAGAGTTATATATATATTTATAATAAAAAATTATTAGTGTTTGTCTGTTTTACCTTAAAAAAATTAAGAGGAAAAAAGATTAAAATCACTTTCATACATGCTTTAAAAATAAGGTAGTTTAGTCTTTTTCAATAAAAATTTATTGAAACGATGAAATTTTGAGATAATTTTCTTCTTAATTTTTAAGAGATAAAGTTGATAGTCACTATTTCTTAATAAAAATATTATAGGTAAGTCCGATTGAGTTTGGGCTTTTATGCAGAGCCTTTTTGCATGGTCCAGTAATAAGTAATTATACTCGTCCGGTCGTCCCTGTGATTGGATTGGGCGAGTTTTTTTCCTGCAGTACGAAGCTCGGCCCAAAAAGCTAATGAAGTGAGCCCGTGGATACTAGTGGATTTTTATTCCTTTTCCGTCTTGGGATTTCCAAATTCCAAGTACTAATCCTTTTCCGACCTGGAATTTCGAATTCCCAATTCACCTATTAACCAAAACATGCTGCTACAAGTAGAATAAACACTTAAACTAATGGATTATAATATATAAGTATAGGGCATGTGACTTTGGATTCTTAAAAATTTAGCAATTTATCTTATCATATGTTAATTACTATATTTAAAAATTTAAAACTCCATTCAAAATTTAAAAATTCAAAAATGTTTAGTTTCTAAATTCATGTATTAATAATTAATAAAATAATTTTTTAAATTTTGAATTGATTTTTAATTAAATAAAATAATGTTGCAATTCTAATTTTTTTAAAAGTTAAATTAATATGTACTTTTCTCATAATATGTATTTTTTTTGTCATGAAATAACTATCGTCTCCAAATTAAGGATTTGGAAATCTTTAAAAAATAATTAAAAGATAAAATTAAATTTTTTGTGATAGGATAATGATAAGGTTAAATTTAAAAGATATTTATTTATTTTAAAAGTAAAAAAAATTAATTTAAAATATATTCAAAACCATGAAATGACAATTATTTTAAAATAAAGTGGATGCATTTTTTTTTCCATTCAAATTTCCTTTGTTGTTTTTGTTACTTTTTCAAAGGGGGGGGGGATTTTGGGTCCTTGGGTTTGCTTTGGGGACCAGGTTGCCTCCCTTTTGTTTTTCAATTGGGAGGTTTGGCCCTTGACCCCCCAGTTGTTGGGCAAGTTGGTTGTTTTTTTTATTTACCCCCATTTCCAATAGCAATTCTTGCAAAATCTTTTGCTTAAAGAAAGGGCACAACATATGTACATCCCTTTTACTTATTCAAACAAAGCAGTAAGAAAAAAACGAAAAACACTACTTAAACTATCCATAAGAACATTTTTCAGAGACCTTTTTTGTAGTTCACTCTGTAGCCTTCAACCATGGTCCTAATTCAGCTTCCAATAACCCAGCTGCTGTAAACTTCATTGCCTCTCTTTTGTCCTTGATAACATGGTACCCAGGCCACCTGACCAGATCGCTGTTATCACCACCTAGGCCCATATTGGCATATTCTCCATAATATATTTGTTTTCAATGAAGCAGATCTATTGTCCCAAGGAGCCCACCCTGCCGGGTCTATATGGTCTCCGATATCCGACTGCATCACAATTCACAACAGTTGTTGAATAGTCCTTCCAAGGCCGACCCAAATATGTTTAATCGAGCTCTTAACGGGCTTAGGATCACTACTGGCTATAATTTGACCAGTTCCCTAGTTTGGATCCGTTCGGCCTTGGGCAGTGATGGCGTTGAACTGATTCGGCAAGGGCTTCTGGGCTATAACGGTGGAATTCTGTTACAAAACGGCTGCATTCCCGAATATAAAGTCTGTCGTGCCAATGATGGTGCAGTCTCGGTAGAATTGATGGCCGCTGTAAGCAAAGTGCCCTAGTAACCTTCGGTTTGGCAGCGGTTTATGACAGATTTGTCACCTACCACACGAAGTGCCACTGCCACGGCTTGAGCCTTTTCTGGCCCGGCTGTGTTGATGAAGCATATATCTTGAGCTATGAATCCCTTCTTAGAAGTTTCCAGATAAATTACTCCGTAAATTAAAATTGAATATTTTAAAAAAAATTCTAGAACATAAAAATTTAAAAAAAAAAATCAAATTAGAAGTTTATCAAACACTAATAAATATTAAAGGATTAAGGTGTTTACGACGTATGCAGTGTGGTAAGGATCGAGTGTAGCATTCGTGTACAAGGCTGCTGACATTACAGTGGAGCCCGTGCCATCCCCAACAATCATAAGATTCTTTTTCTCACTTCCAATATTGACATTTTCTTGATATATTCCTTTCTTAATGTAGATGAAGATGACAAACCGGGTAATGCTGTTGTTGGGTCATGGGTGCTGCATTAACAGAATCTTGTACAGTCATGCAGTTGCCACTCCCATCTTTAGCCACCACCAGATTGGGCTTAATTTTCCTTCGCCAAACCCTTAAGAGGGTCTGATCCTTGTTATTGACCCAAGTTGGAAATTCTTCGATTAAAGGCTCAAATAAGTTTGTATTTTTTGGCGAACCTGCAACAATAATGACTAAGGAAATGTAGTTGCTTGAGATATTAAGTTACTCAATGCAGGCTCCATCAGAAATCTAGCAGTACCCTCTAAGCCATCCGTGCATGTGACATGGTACGTACGTGAAAACAGTATTTAACCATGTGTGAATATTCGGGAATACCGAATGAACATCTTGATTTTTCGAAGCAGCCATGGAATTCTTTGTTTTTTCTAGGGAATATCGCATAAACTCCACACAAAAAGTTAATGCTGCTTCTTCTTTTGCATTAATTGTTGGTTTGATTCCTTACATAGCCAGCCAATTTTATGGCGTTTTCTATGTCTAGAATAGATTGCTTTAAGAAGGGTGATAACTTACCATCATATGTTGATGATAGCTAAGGATAAAAAAAGTCACTGTTTAAGGAAGGAAAAGTGACAAGAAGGATGGAAAGGAATGAAGTAGAGAAACTTGTTGGAAGTTTTTCGTTTGGAGGCTTGTAAGAGAGGTTGATTCATTGGCTAATGAGGATTAGACAAAGACAAGATTGAAGATTTAGTTTTTTTGGTAGTACTAGAGCTGGTTGTGAAAACTTAAAGGTTTACCCAAATTTCTTGTCCAATGAAGAAGTACAAAAAAATTACGAAAAGATTAAACCCTCACACTAA